TCTCCATTCCCTTCCTTGGACACGCTCCAACCCCTCCATGTCCTTCTTCTCCTGAGGGGCCAGAGCTGGGCACAGCACAGAGGGAATTGTACCTGTATATAGATAAGTCAATATGTGGCCAGTTCTTTGGATTTAATTCTTGAAGTGATGAACACGTCTGGAAAATTACGATTACCGCACTATGACTTTTCCTTTGCAAGAGATTTCATGGGGTCATAGAATATCTTGAGTTGAAAGGGACTTGTTGAAACTCAACCCAGTAACAACAAAATAGGTTCTTTTGGGGGCCTTCTAATTGTTAAGAGACAAGGTTCTTAATTTTTATTCTTTAGTACATTTATTTATTTATTGCTTGGAAGCAAATTTCTTAATTATTTTTAAATATATATATTACAAGTATAAAAAATCAGTGTTTTATTCCCTCTGACTGTTAAAATATTGAACAACTCGACAAAATATAACATTGCTTTGTAGTGCTTCTAACTGAATCTTCTGCCATAGGATTTCCAGCTTCAAAAATGAGGAGCTGGAGGACTCAATCCCTTTGGTAGGTCCTTGGAAGGGTAAGAGGGACAATGTGCTTCCCCTCCCCTTGGAAGTGACCCCAGGACTTGTGGCTTTTGGGCTGGTTCCTGGTGGGATTTGCAGGTACTAACTCAGTGCACACACTTGTTGCCATAATCTAATTATTCCAGGAATATCTGGCACTGTCCTGTCCACTTTCCCTCCCCTTGGGGCTCCATTTCTTTCACAGTTTAATTAATTATAAAATCTCTTGGCAGTTTGGTGAGTAAATCTGTGTGCCCACCATGATCAGGAATTTTTAAAAGTAATAAACACCACACTTCTTCTGTACTGTGTGCAAGTAGAAGCAGAGAATTGTCTGGGTAGGAAAACACCTCAGAGATCATCAAGTGTTATTCTTTGCTTTGTGCCATTGATATTACGTGATATCAATTTCCTGATTGATGTATATGTGCTTTATTATGGTATCCATGCTTTGAGTGCCACGTGGCTGCTGTGCCTGCAGCCCATTTAAATTTCCTGTATAAGTAATGGCTGGGGAAAGATGCAGGATGTGTTTACATGTTTTTGGAGAGGTTCTGGAGGAAACAATGCAGCAGAATTCCTGTTTGAGCAGCCCGCTGGGGTCTGCTGTTCAAGCACCAGCTCCAGTCCAGGCTTGGCGTGAGCAGCAGATGGAGTTGAAAGCTGCACTTGTTGAGCGTGGAACGCAGGAGCTGTCACCCACCTGCCCCTTGCAGGGGAGCTGAAATGGGTTTATTACAATTGCAGTGCCCTTGCAGGAAAGCCAGGCAGCCAGGCCAGCCCTGGGTGCTGGGAATTGCTCGCTGCTCCCGTCTGCCAAAGCCGCGACTGAAGGCGCAGCCAAAGAGCCAGAGGCGACCACTGCTTGGAAAGGCACTTCCCAGCTTGGCATTTCGGGGGCTTCTGGGTGCCATCCAAAGAGGATTAGTAGGATAATGCGATGGGACAACAGGAACTTGCTTTTGTTGTCTTTGATTGTTTAATAAAGAATTACGTGTTTGCTCTCCTCGAAGACTTTTGAAATGCCGTGGAAAGCAAATGTTGCTCCGTGT